CCAATAGTGGCAGCGCGGCCTCCTGCGCCGCTTGCACCGCTCGTAGTTTGGCGGCCAAAAGTGCGGGGGTCCAGCTTCGGCTTGTATTCCGCCAGCTTTTCCGCCTGCGGGGGCGCAACGGAACACTTCTGAGTGAAAGCAATTGCCGCAAAGCATAATTTTCGGTCTTTGGCATTGGTCTGGGGTCCAGCTTTGGTCAATTGGACTCCGCCAGTTTTTCCACCTGCGGAGGGCGGAACGGAACGGAATTGTGAGTACGAAGCAATCGACGCGGAGCGAACAGACTTTGCAATCATTTTTAATGGTCTGGGGTCCAGCTTCAGCTCGTATTCTGACACCATCTCCGCTTTATCAGGGCGAAGCAAAACGGAACGGAACCCTTTGAGCGGCGGCGCGATCCCCGCAGAGCAGATTTTTCAGAACTATTGACAATAGTTTGGGGTTCAACTTTTGCTCGTACTCCGTTAGCTGTTCCGCTTGCGCAGGGCGGAGCGGAACGGAACCACTGTGAGCACGATGCAATTGCCGCTATGCGAAGAAACTACGCAATGATATCTTAATGGTCTGACTCCAGCTTCGGGGCTTGCATTCCGCCAGCTTTTCTGCCTGCGAACAGCGGAACGGAACGCTTTGAGGATTAAAAAAACGCCGCTGCGAGACTTCAAATTTCAGCGTTTGTTTGTATCCAGCCTGGATGCCGAACGCAGTGAGTCGGAGGTTTCAAAACCTCAAGGCGGAGATCTAGGGTTAACCGTATCGTAGAGGTCCCAGCCTCATCCAGTTGCTGCCCACATTCCGCCGGCGTTCCGACCTGCGCAGGCTGGATCGGAACGGAACGGTAGATTCTACACCTTCGCATCAGTCTTCGTGAATTCAAGCTTCTGCTTGTGTACTAACAGCAATGCGCCTGAGACGAATAGAACGGGACGCGTTCCGGTCGCACAATTCTGGTCGTATCTCCTCGGCGAATCCGCTGGAGCCTGTCCGCCGGAACAGCACCAAACGGAAAGGCCGCATGCGCGCACGGGAGCCAGTCCGCCCAATGATTGGTCACACCCTGTGAGGAAGAAGCTTGCTTCCAGAGCGATATTCTGAATTGAACCATCTGGCAAGAATTCTGTCCGGCTAAATGATCACGAAGCATCATCTCAAATTCGGTCGCCTTCGGGTAGTTTGAATGAATTCACTGCACGGAGAAAGCAAACGGTTCCTGCCCATTTGGCGACTCGAGGAATTCAGACCTTTAGATATTGCTAACACAAAAGCTGAATCCAACATCGTCTGAGTCGCTCGCGCTTTCTAAGGTTCTCCATCCATTCAGAGCTCGTAGGAAGCACCGCACTTCACAGAAACTGCTTGGAAAAGGATCTGCAATCTATTCCCATTATCTGACCAGAAATGCGCCCAGGTCTTGTTTCATTCTGAGCGCACTTTTTCTCACCTGGTTGAGCATCCACTTCAACCCAACCGCCCGGAGGAACTTCTCCTCCGCCACGCGCCCCAGGTCGTACACGTCATCCAGCCGCGCGCGCTCGCGCGCGCCGTGCCACGTGTGCCCACTGAACAGCTCCTCGTGGCTGCGCACGTGGGGATGACTTTTCAAAAGCGTCTCGAACCAGCCGCTCCCGGACCGCTGCATCGACAGCAGAATGAAGGGCGCGACCGGCGTGCACGCGCAGGCGCGCGCGCGGCCGCGGCCGCGTGGCGCGAGGTAAAAGCGCGGAGGGCCGCCGGCGGGTACGGGAGGACACGTGGAATCGTTTCGTTGGTTGTCTGCGGTCCTTTCGGATTCAGAGTCGCGTTCACTTAAGTCTTTCTGGCTCAATACGTGACATTTCGAGCGCCCGTTTGCTTCTGGGCTCTCCTTTCCATCACTCCTCTCGTCACCTTCCGTATCTTCCTCGTCAGTGCTTTTTCCTTCTCTGCTGTCAGCTTCCTGCGTTTCCTTCAATCTGTTCTCACTGCCCTTGTCTCTTCAGTCATTCTCAGTTTCCCTTTGCTTTCCTTGTCTGCGCTCTTACGTTCTCCTTTCAAATTCCATTAATCTAGCCACAGAGTTCACCTCTTGCACCGCTTCTCCGTCGCTCTTGTCACGGACTGTCTCATCACACTTTTCGCCCCCTCAAAGCGCCATACGGGGCTCTTCTCTGAGCTGCGGAAAGCTTCCTGAAGGAGCGCTCAAAGGAACGGGTTCCTGGCCTGTAGTGCAAGAAGTAATAAGTCAGAGGGGTTCCTGGTCAGCACATTCATTATATTAAGACAAATCAGAGGGGGGGGGTTGAATGCCGACAATGTTACGGGAAGCATGTATATATTCAAGGCGTCTATTTCTATTCAATCTCCGCGCCACCAGAAGCTTCTTAAGTGGAGGCGGCTCACAGGTAAGGACAATAAAAGATGGTAGAAGCAAAGGCGCGCTGAGATAACTGGATACATGTGCGAGATGAAGGAAGCCGCTCAGTAAGAGATGCCCTGTCTTTACTGGACCGCCCTTTTAACAGAAGTCCTGCCGGAGAATGGGAGACCACAGCGAATGGGAAGATTAAGATTGAAAAGGTCAAAAGTGCGATCGAAAGCCAGGGTTCCGGGCTTTTTTTAAATCCTTTGAAGAAGCAAGTGAGATAAAGATGGCTTACTTGGGGCCGTGCTCTCTCGAGCATATCTTCTATGGATCCACAAGGAGCTTGACAAGACGACCCACAGTAGAAAGAGACCTCCTCTGTCGGGTATTGTCAACGCCATGGCTTGCTTGCCCTGCTTCCTTTTGGCCATGGAGAGAGAATCACAGGCGGCTAGCTTAAACAAAGGGTGCAAGGTAAGCCGTACGTAGGACTCTGCTTGAAATAATCTGATTAGAAGAGAATGAATAGCCCAGAATGACGCAGCATCCGATAGGAACCTTGTACAGGCGAAAGAAAGAAAGGCACGGCTAGTGCTGATGAAGCAAAAGCTGGTCGATTGAAGCTTTGCCTGGGACCTCGTCATCCGTCCTGGAGAAAGTCAGCCAGACGAAAGCCGTGCTAAACGCAGTTGAGTGTCTACATCTTTTGGGTTTCTGCGATTGTAACGGAGAATTCGAGGCGTAAAAGCCGCAATGGATCAGTGAGACGTATTGCTACCACTATGACTCAAATCATACACAGCGACTATTTTCATCACAAAGCCAAAGGCGTGACCTTGGAAGCGGCATCTTGTAAGAATAATGCTGAAGGTAAGCAATGGTTTGGCAGTTCAGTATGAGGACGTTGATGTTGTCATCATGAGCACTCCTTGTCAAAAGGCTGGAGATGTTTAGTGCGAGAATCTCGGCAGACTACATAACTTTGCAAATCCCCGGGCCCGCCGCTTCTGTTTGTTGCACACTGCTGAACGGCGCCTTTCTAGTTGCATGGCAGTTCTTTAGTAGGGGAAATAACGCCCTACTCAGAGAAGCATACAACACAGGCTGGAATTGAGATCTGTTAATTTAACTCTGGGCATGTTAGTTTTCCCTGCCCGAGGATAATCAGGCATCCAAAGCGTTGAGAATCTTGTGCCCTCCACACGAAACGCAATGTCAATTTTGTCTAAGTGCAGTCCCTAAAGAAACATGCCTGTAAGTCTCAAAGCATTACCGTCCATGACAGAAGTCAAACCGCCCTCGTCAGTTCTGATTAAACCGGGTTACGTCGCTCCAACTGTGGAAATCGCACCCGCAGACCAGGTGAACCGACCTTCAGGAAGACTTCAGGTGAACAGAGAGAGTCGACGATGACCGACGGAATTGCCGTTAACAGCTTAACGGTATCGCCAGTGATTTGATATAAGGGCCGCAAGTTTGACTCTTCAAACCAGGCCTCACCGATTCTTACAAGCCGCGTGGGCAATCTGTACCGCATCCGAGCCTTCATGATTTGGGGAAAAAAAGGGAAAATATTCTTTTGCAGAGAAACCCAGTTTGAGTTCAGATCGCTTCAAAAGTCGCATCTTTTACACAGGAAGAACCTCTTCCTTCCTTCCTCTACCATGCTACCCGTAACATCGATCCAAAGTGACATAGTCTCTCCTACTGAGCAACTCATTTATGTGGAGTCGACCAATCAACCTCAAGTCGCTGTCTATTTCGATGAGAAGAGCCTTCAGCCTCAAGAGCTTTCTGTCCTTCAATTCATACGCTCTTAATCGAAGCCACCTTGCGGAGCTAATCACCGCTTTCGTCACGCCCCACTTTGAGAAGCAGTACTGCAAACATCCTTCTGTGCTCGGATAATCCTCCACAACGTTCAAAAGACGCCCTAAAATTCTCTCCCTTTCACCTTGTCGCTTTATCCGTTCTATCTGTGCTCCGATCCGGGAGTTTTCTTCAATGCCTAGCCTTTCAGCCCAGCGGCGCAGGCCCCCATCGACTGAGGGTTTGAAAATGTCCTGTAAAGAATGCTGACACCATTCTCTGAGCGTGACACATCGTCTTTCTAGAGCGTCCAGTCGGATGTTTAAAAGTGCGTCGTACGTCAAAACCGAGCCTGCGAGGGAATCTCGAAGCGGGCGGGCCACGCATACCAGGCGGCCCAAGTCCGCCACACTTAGTTCCTCACGTTGGACGAGCAGGTAGATGACGTCACCAAATGCATCCATGCTGGCGTGCCGTTTCCGCCGTCTCGTCACGGAAGCGGCGGAGAGAGCGGATCCAAGTTCTCAAAGAAGCGTCGACAGCCCAAAGACCTGCGCACACAGGGAGATTTGGTTTTCTCCCCCCCTTTCTCCCCCCCTTCTCTCCTCTCGGGGGGCGGAGAAAACATTCTCCCCCGGTCGGGGCCGAGTGGGGGAGAATTCTCCACCACATAAGGGGCGGAGAACGGTCTCCCCACGGAGGAGAAATTCTCCCCCTTCTGACGATGCGGGGGAGAACAAGGGGAGAATTCTCCCCCTAGTTAACCAGTGGGGGAGAAAATTCTCCCCCTACTCTCCCCCGCTCCTCTCAGGCGAAGGCGGCATGCAAGCCGTTCGAACGTCCAAATGATGCATTAAAAGTTGTTTGAGTATCCTTTGGTGTTGCTAAAAGCATCAATTTTGCTAAAGGTTTAAATTGCTCGGTTTTATTAACTTGTCTATATTTTGGTCGTCCAAGCCCCCACTAAGGTATTTGCTTAGCTGTAAACTGAATCAGAGCGGATGGAATTCACGAACGTACTTTAATTTCCGTCTCTACTAGAGAGCTTTTGAAGATAACATACACGCTAAAAGAGGCGTAGAGTCTTTTGCAAGGCGCAGATTCTCAAAATAGTCACTACATCAACGGTATATAAATTCAAAGCTGATCCCTAGCGGTACACAGAAGTGAAATAGCTCAGGTGGTTAAGGCGTCAGGTCTAGCAGTCGGAAGACAGGGGTTCAAGTCCGGGTGGTGACAAGCCTGCAACATTTTCCAAAATCAATTTCTATTTTATGTTTTAGCATTCAAAACCTTTCTTGCCGGTCTCACCAAGCATACCCGGGTGCGTTTTTTCAAGATTTCCAAACACTTTCCAAGAAACGAAGCAATTTTTGAGTGGGAGAGAAAAGTGGAGGAGAATTCTCCTCCGGTGGGGGAGAGGGGGTGGAGAGTGACGGTTCTCCTCCCCCCGGGGAGAAGTGGGGGAGACAGGTGGGGAGGCATGTCTCCCCCGGTTCTCCCCCTCTTCTCCCCCCGGTGGGGAGATAACCAATCCTCCCTGTGGCAGAGAAGCTGTTGAGGCTATGGTACAAATTTAGGGACCTTGACGACACTCAACAGATCGGAGAAGCTTCTTGGGCGGAATCAAGGCGGATCTGTTGCGCTGAACTAGCCTAAGAAATTGATGGTTCAGACTTTGCGAGGACAAGCTAGTAAGGGCCTCAACCCATGCTGCTGCTATCTGCCGCTTTATCCGCAAGCTCTGTCCTCCAAGTTTTCAACAAGGAAAGACGCTACTGCAAGAAGAGGGCCCGGAGCTCTTCAAATGTCACTTGAAGTAAAGACCGCTGTCAGATTCAGTGGAAGACGGGCAGGTTGAAAGGCATTACGTTGAGCTTAGACCATGGGGATTCACCTATGCAATCAGCAGTACTCGTATAAATCAGCCGAAGATGACTCCAACTTTGGACTTGCAACAAGCTTACGGTTTCTCCTTGTGAGCAACAGACAGTTCACGTACTCAGTCTTTAAAATGCTTCCAACTTTGCAAGATTGACAAGATTGTTCCACCAATAATAAGATCCAGGTTCGAGGCGTGTACTCTGAACAAACGAACACAGAGTCCCATCTAAGGTCGAGTTGATAACCAAACGAGGGAGCTTACAAAAGAACCGCTGCTCCATTTGTGACCTTTTCTCCGCATGATGGGTGGCAGTGAAACGCCGTGCCAACAAGCCATCAGATGGCACTGGCGTCAGATTACATCAGCTTGTTGCTGTCATTCCAAGCCACGGAGTACTCAGGCGACCTACCTCAGAATGTTCAGTGCGGCGCTCCTTCGCTTGTTCTGACGAGCTTGTCTTGTTCAGCGTACCAGGCCAGTTTTTTTAAAATCGCACATCCTACAGTAGTTTCTGATGCACGGTCCCAGCCTGTAGGTAGCTTTTTGTGAGTGACCTGAGAAACTCAGGCGCGGCGCGGCGCGTACGTCGCGCGGCATATGGCGCGCCGCGCCGTGTCACCCGCCCGGCCACCGCGCGGTTGCAACCCGGCGGGCGCGTCCGGCACAGGTCCTAAACCAAACTCGGAACCCTTCGTCCGAGTTTGCGGCCGCGACTCGGACGTGCCTGCAGAGCGGCGTCTGGAAGCCTTTGTGCGAAAAATACTTGAATGAGGTGCTAGTATCAGGAGCTTCGGGAGCTCCGCCCAGACGAAACCCGCTCTTTTGGTTTCAGGTGCTCTTGAAAGGTGTTTTTACACGAGGTGGGTTGGCGGACACGCGCCTTTCTTCTGTAAACTTAGCGATATTTAGTGCATACACTAAGAGCATATTGGACCTGTGCCAAGATTGAAGTGAACTTTTTTGAAGTGTTTTAAGTCGTCTTGCATCTTACGGTACTGCGTGTAAGTGCAGTCTTAACCTGTGATCAAACCCTGGCTTCTTCAAAGCTAGGGGCGCTGTTGACGTTGCAATATCAGTGCTGGTTGAACAACTCAGCGTACTGGACAAATGATTAACTCGGATGAATAAGAGAACTTGGTGAACTGGCTAACAAGTGGTGGGCTAACGCCCAGTCATAAGTAGAAAATAATTTGTGATACTTTTCGGTTTTTACTAAAGAGGACATGATTGGGACGTGATGATAAGCAATTGGCATTGCCAAGAGATTAAGGCGGAAACCTACGGACTGATGCTTGCAGAAAGCCGGAACAAACACAGGCCAAGCTTCCGCTTTTGCTCTGTTGTCCACAGCTAGTGATCAGGAGACTGGTCCCTGGACTTGCTTTTGGAGACTTTTCCCCAGACATAGGGTTCAGTCACTGAGTCGAGAGTGTGGAAACACTTAGAGAGATTGAAACACTCACGCCGCAACACTAGCTCTCTGCATGCCTGCAGAAGAAGTAGTCGGTGAGGGCGATGCGGAGTTGTTACGAAGCTATGGAGGCCACCAGTGACGTCATCTACCTACTCGTACAACGTGGAGAACTAGAGGTGCGAGACTTGTGCCGCCTGGTCTGCGTGTCCCG